GCTTCATCTGGACCTTACCTGTTTGTTTACTGATGGAAAGAAACGGAAAACTTCCGCCTTCTCCCTGAATCTACTGCTCTGGTCTGATACTCAGGCGTGACTAACAGATCCACACTTATCATTTCGTTGATTTTCTCTACCCCGTTCAAATTAATGTCCGTTTGAAGTCGTCCTCATTACATTTGCCCATAAATTTTCATAATTTTTTTTTACTTTGCTAACTTTGCTTGTAAATATGCATGATTGTTTGTTTCGAGACTCACCGCCGGGGGGCAGCGTTGCCTTTAAACCAGCTAGTAAACTGGTGAAAATCCTCAACGAGCCACAGAAACCTCACATGCAAATTATCACAGTATTCTTGCCTTTTTGCCTCCAGCAGAAGGGTAATTTTAGACAGAGCTATTCTCCACTGTTGGATGTATGTAACCTCCCCCACTGAAACCTTACAACCCCACGCTGCCAGAGTTTAATCTGTTTAGTTTGGCACATTATGTCTAAAACCTGTTGTCACAAAAAGCAGTCTGCTGCAGAGTCATTAATATCCCTGAGGTGAAAAATGGCTCTCTAACTGTAAGAGGTGATCTGTCGCACACCTGAAATACAAGTCCTGTAACATCTGTCGCTGAACTTGTGTTGCCAGAGTTTTCATTGTGTCACCAGACAACCAGTTGTACACAGGGGAATATCTGGTGGCACCAGTGTTGGCCCGTAAAAACTAAAAGGGCTTAATGTACCAGTTTGGCCAACCTTTTGGCTACACCCATCACTGGGTTCTCCTTTTGTTGGCTGAGCTGATAAATTTCCAGTTTGTCTGGTTTTCCCATGAGCCGTCCACCTTCCTCAGTTTATAGGATGCAGCTTGAATGGAATCTTAGCAAGCCAGTATGATTCAGTCTGAACTTAGTGAACCCAAATATGTGCACCATTATTTCTCCCTGTGGGGCCAGTTGACAGTAAAATCTTAGCAGGGTGATTTACAAAAAGATCCAACTTGTCCAGTTGAATGGGACGCCTCGCAGCAAGGAGGTCACATGTTCTAGTCCTGGCTGCTAAAAGCGACTGATAAACGAACAAACATGATCCCCAACACTGTCTGATTTGGTGTTTTGGTGAAGACATGAAGCCCTTTTAACCCTCTCAGGCTCAAAATAAGTTTCGATAAAAGGACGAACAACTAAGTCCTTGAAATGCTCATGAAATACGTATTCCAGAACTGCGCTGCTCTGGGTGGCTGCATGTTGGAGTAGCTCTGTTGACTATATGTAAGTGTTGCCTTTTCTTGGACATTTTTTCTTCTAGTTTCTCAAGAAAAACTGTATTTTTTGGACACTTTACTTTTCTGTTTCTGGTGCTGTGAAGCTTGGAGGATTTTTACTGCTATTTTTTGGCTTTTTTCACTTTTTGAGCATTTGTTATGATGCGTAACCATGGCAACAAGCTGTTTACAATCGGGAGCAGCTGATTAACATTGGAAAAGCTGAAATAATACCTCAACTGAAGCCACAAATCCCAAATGAGCTAAAACGCAAGAAGCGAGGGTGCAGAGCGGGAGCAAAACGGAGACAGAGAAAGAGAAAATTCAAACCATCGCTTCCATCGCAATGTGAGATCACTGGCCAACAAGATGGAGGAACTCCAAGCCCTTTCAAGGACTCAGCCAGAGTTTCTGCAGTTTCGGAACCGCTGGAGGAGATAATGCAAAGAAGGATTCTCCAGAGAATCAAGAAAATGATGGACAACCCTGAGCATTCTCTTCACAAGACTGTCCGACAACGGAAGAGTGTCTTCAGTCAGAGGCTTCTTCAGTTTGGCTGCAACACTGACCGCTACTGGAGATCCTTCCTGCCAACAGCCATTGTAATATACAACAACTCTTTGATGACTTGATTATTATTATTATTCTGAGCTACTACAGAAATCAATTTCCCTCTGGGATTAATAAAGTATTTTTGAATTGAATTGAATTGAATGTGGAGTAACCAGATAGGTAGGTTTTAACTAGGGCTGTACGATATTAGGAAAACCTGCGATATTCGATAACAATGATTAATATTGTGATGACGATATTACTTGCGATAAATAAAAACTTAACCCAGGAACAAAAATAATCAAAAACAAAAAAAAAATAAAAAAAAATTCATAAAAATGAGAAAAGCAAAAGATGTGAGGAAAGGGAAAAAGAAAATGAACAAGAAAAGGCGATCCGTGGATCTCGGGAAAAGCAGAATCAGCAAAAAGAGCTAACGAAGCTAACTCAGGTGTTTGCTAACCATCTATGAAGTGCCGTCCGCCTCGGGGGCGGGCGTCTAACCTATGAGAACCCACCCGATTGGCCAAATGGGTGAAGAGCTCCATTTGATTTGTTAAAAAAAATCATACTTCCTTTTGATGCACAGAATGCATTATGTGTAGCAAACATTTGAGCGGACCATTCATTGCAATATTTATCTGTTCTTTGCGAAATGCATATTGCGCATGCTGATATCGCGATAACGATATATTTGCGATATATTGTGCAGCCCTAGTTTTAACTGTTGCGAATCTGCAACGCCTGCCTCCAGAGGGTTAAGACGTCCTCCTGAAGAATCCACTGAACTTAAGCACATCTTGTATATTTTGTTTAGCAGCCATTCATCTTCCCCATCTTTGGAAATATTTCATCTGCAACAACTTTGATTTGGATTAGATTTATTTATTTGTAAGCAACCATGTGAAAGCTAGGAAACCACATGTGTAAGTATGTGGGCAGGTGTTGGACCAGCATGTTCCCAGAGAAGGAGAAGCAATAGGATAACATGAAAATGTTTGTTGTTGCCTCCTTCAGAGAATTTCTCAACCAGCCAGTGAATCTCATCCTTATGTCCAGCTGCTGAAGTCCTTTTTCCTGCATATAAATGATGTGACTTTGGTATTTTAGTATTTTCTCTTTTCCTCACCACGCCTAAACCCTGATTCAACACAAGCACCTAATGGCTGGCCTTATTCTTCTGACATTTTTCCCAGAGACAAATATCCCAGTTTCCACGCCTGTTGTGTGTTAGTCACATTGCTTATTTTTAGCCCTCATGAGATGATCAGTGCTGTTTTGCAATTCGAGAGGCTCATTAGTGTTCCGCTGAGGCGTGACGCCCACTCCCATTCAGCTCACAGATGGTACATGCTACATACGTGCTCTCCGCGAGTTTGACATGACGCCGGTGTTCTGATCAGAAGCCAACAGCCGTTAGATTTACATGTTTGGATTTTTCTTTTGACGTTAAGAGAAGAGGCCTCAGGAGTGCTTTGGTTGGAGTCTTTCTGCACATTTTTCTCTTGACTACTCAAAGGTTACCTTGCTCTTCAGACACTGTGGGGTTGTATCTAACGTAAGACATGAGAAAAGTTGGAGTTGATGTTAAATGAATGCAAAATACTAAATATTATTAAAATCATCCATGGAAATCTTTTCCGGAACTGCGCTGCTCTGGGTGGCTGCATGTTGGAATAGCTCTGTTGACTATATGTAAGTTTTGCCTTTTCTTGGGCATTTTTTCTTCTAGTTTCTCCAGAAAAACTGTATTTTTTGGACACTTTACTTTTCTGTTTCTGGTGCTGTGAAGCTTGGAGGATTTGTACAGCTAATTTTTAGCTTTTTTCACTTTTTGAGCATTTGTTATGATGCGTAACCATGGCAACAAGCTGGTTTACCATCGGGAGCAGCTGATTAACATTGGAAAGGCTGAAATAATACCTCAACTGAAGCCACAAATCCCAAATGAGCTAAAACGCAAGAAGCGTGGATGCAGAGCGGGAGCAAAACGGAGACAGAGAAAGAGGAAATTCAAACCATCTCTTCCATCGATCATAACGGGCAATGTGAGATCATTGGCCAACAAGATGGAGGAACTCCAAGCCCTTTCAAGGACTCAGCCAGAGTTTCGGCAGTTTCGGAATCGCTGGAGGAGATAATGCAAAGAAGGATTCTCCAGAGAATCAAGAAAATGATGGACAACCCTGAGCATTCTCTTCACAAGACTGTCCGACAACGGAAGAGTGTCTTCAGTCAGAGGCTTCTTCAGTTTCGCTGCAATACTGACCGCTACTGGAGATGCTTCCTGCCAACAGCCGTTGTAATATACAACAACTCTTTGATGACTTGATTATTATTATTATTCTGAGCTACTACAGCAATCAGTTTCCCTCTGGGATTAATAAAGTATTTTTGAATGGAATTGAATTGAATTATGCATTTTGCAAACAGGCTATGATGTTTTTGCCTGTGCTTGTTTATTTAATAATAATAATCAAACCCCCATGGATTAAAGAAAGCCTCCAGAAAATAATCTTTGGGTGAATATCTACAGATTATCAGCTGCTGAGTTTGCATTCAGGGGCTGAAAGGTGTTGCAGCTGGTGCTGCTAGAAGGTTGCAGGTTTGAATCCCTGCTGCAGCCATTCAGTGTGGGGTTAGCGTGTTCTCCCCATGCATGTGTGGGTTTTCTCCAGATACTTTAATGTCCTCCTGAAGACCAGAAGCATGCATGTTAGGCCGATTAGATGCTTGTCTCTTGACTGGTCGCTTGTCTCTGTGTGTCCCTGTGATTGACGAGAGACCTGTCCAGGGCGTCCCGTGTCTCTTACCTGATAACTGCTGAAGTTAGACATCGTCATCAGGTTTTTCAGGTGTTTTCCCGTTTGTCCGCACCGTTTCATTGTTTGTCGTGAGCGTAACACGATTTTCACCAATGGTTTCGGGTTTCAACCTGTTCTCAGAATTTCCGGTGAGGCGGGAGAGACAATAAAAACAGTGATGGTCATCAAAATGTTCAAGTTCTGTTCCGTTTATTTATGTCACAGCACACGTCACCTCGGGGCCGTGTGCAAAAGGAAACAAGTCCAGGTCATGTAGAAGTACTGATGGAGCTGACGATGGTTGAACTATTTTATCTGAAGGGAGACTGACTGGTTTACATAAGAAGGTTTTTCTTCACAGCTATAGTGACTCAGTCAGCAGCTTTGTG